GCACTTCATTTTAGGAATTTTGCGTGACACCCATGGACACAGTGTAATCGAGAATGTTCGTCTCGCGCCTGTATTAGATTAGATCTCTGCCAAAAACAGCTAAGTTTTTTGAAGACTTAGCTTACCGTCCGTATGGCCTTTCGGTTGAGATTGGGTCTAACCGTGACACCCTTTTCACGTCAAAGTTTTGGTGTGCACTGTTCGGCTATTGGGCACTAAATCGTCCACGTCAACGGCACACGCTGGAACGGACCGTCAAATAAAATGTGTGAATCGAGCCCTGGATGATGTATTGCGTCTTTACGCCACGTCTTCCAAGGAATGAACCATGGCAGGCTCTAGAAACTGATGTCCCCGACGTATTTCACAGCTATGCGGATAGCTTGTAGTGTTTCTAGAGGTAACACTGCGACGACCTTGGATTTGCTTTGTCGTGATTGGGAGTCATGTCAGCACCGACTCGGCGAAGCAGACGCTCCACCTTTTTCTTCTTCTTAAGGCAATTAAAAGTCTACCAAAAGTCCAGCTTAGCTGCGGTGAGCTGATCACGATTGTCGATTCGACGCCAACGGAAGAGACATTTCATGTCGAACTTCATTTCTCCACATCGGTTGAGAATTAGGGGAAACGTCAAGGACCTCTGAACCTATTCTTTGCTGTCTAGGTGAAGAAATCTCTTAACTGCTGGCTTGTTCGCTTGATCACATCATTGTCGATCGTGTTGATCGGAAATCGAATTGCTCCAAAAGGTCTGCAAAGTTTAAATTCAAGAAGGGGGTGATAGAATGGGCCACACATGGCCATTACATGGAGGTTCATCTATGAACCATCATAATGAATTGTGAGAATTTATGAAACGAATATTACAGTATGGTGACCTCACATGCATACTTATATGAAGCCACAAACATTTTCGTAATACAGAATGCTGGTTCCTACTTAAGGATCTGTACTTGTGACGATTTAATATTACATAATTAATATACAAACTCGAACAGAGTTTGATCCTGGCTCAGAATAAATGCTCTCGGTATGCTTAACACATGCAAGTTAAATGTTCTAAAAGCACAGCGAACAGGTGAGTAACACGTGGATTATCTACCTTTAATCCAGGATAATAATTTTGTAAAAATACCGAGTAAATTAAATTATAATTTGAAACGTTAAAAAGATGAGTTTATGCTAGATTATGGTAGTTGGTAGTTTGATAGACTAAGCCGAATATCTTTAGCTAATGATCAGCCACATTGGGACTGAGACACGGCCCAAAACAGCTTTTATTCACAGCGTTGAGGGCTCAAATCTCTTCTTTGATAGTATATATTTCTAGTTAAAATATAAAGGTAAAAAAATAGAATACAAAACCCCCAATTCTTAATACATTATTAGCGGAGAAAATTAATATTCTTTTATAATCAAGAATTACATGATATTTTATTCCAGGTAAATCTTTTACGCGTCCGCCTCGAGCTAATACTATCGATTGTTCTTGCAATGTATAACCTATACCTATTTTCACGAATAGTATTAAAATTGATGAATATCTGATTCCATAGAGTTTTTAATTTGAATTGTATTTGGATTAGAAAACTATTTCGACAAGATGTATTCATTGTACCCGCTGTGTACGCTTTCCATGATTAAAAAACATCTAGTCATGGTGAAAATTAAAAATACCTATTTTTCAAAAACTAGCTGTGATATTAACAAAGAATGGGTACGACAGTCACTTCTACTGGATACTTATACCGAATATTAGTCTTTCAAAGTAAGCTCCATAAACCCAAGATCTTGTATAAGTTTCAGCTGGGGTTCAACCTCAGTACACCCTTAATTGTATATATCAAGAAGCCAAGGTTTCATTAGCAAAAGCTTTGACACTCAAGACTTTATTAGTAAAATGTTAAGGTGCCTTTGGGTGCGTGCATCATCAAATCATATTAATTCAGTTTCTAATCTGTTGTATTCCTTCCTCAAAGCCACGATTGCCCTTCTCCCTCCACATCGTGAATCGTTTCCTCGTCATGTTTGTGGGAGATTTGTAAGCAGTACCCTTTTGATGTTAGCCGTTCCGCTAAATTTGGCAAAAAAGTCATTTTCTAAAACGTTTTCTTTCAACTCGATCGGCTTTGGCACGGAAGATTGCGAAAAGGAATTACTTACACTCTCCACAGGACTGGCAAAAGCTCATAGCTTTTATTCACCGTCCCGCAAGATATACACTATTGTGACTGCGGAATGAATACTCTTGCTTTTGCATCATCCTGAGATCACAGGTAATAGCTGCTTCTGCTCCACAAATTCTGCTCGAGATACCCGGTAGCCTTATTGCTATCAATTTTGGACAACCCATGTTACACCCCGAATCTATTACAGTTCTGTACTCACACAAAACCTTTTTGATCATGACGGCTTCATGAATCTCCAAAGCTTGATAAGAAGAAATAATCGTGGCAACACTCCTTGCCTTCTTCCAGTTGATCGATGGTTTTTTGGGTTCCAGCCACCATACCTGGAATGAGATCGTATCATTATGTTAGATCTAGGACTAGACAAGTCCTAACAGTATACACAACGGCTTAGCAATAACTTTGACACTTTAAGCTGCGTTTTCGAGACTGGTGCCTCAAACCATGCAGTTCATTGGCAAGATATAGGGAGCATTTCCGAGAAACGGTTCAACTTAGCTAAGGTGTGCGTTGCAGTCGTCGCAACCAAAAGAGCTCACGAGAGCTAGCTGTAGGAAGTTTAACTTCCGTCGAGACCACTCGTTCAGTTAATGATGTCCTTCTTTCGCGTGAACGTTTGCAGGTCCTCATGGTTGCTTCCCGTCTCTGGTGATATGAATGGGGTATCCTTATCGAGGAGCCTATTTATGGGTTTTCTTTGGTACAATTGAACCGGTGGTGCGGGCGCAAAAACCTGGTGTACCCTAGAACTTTAGAATCATCAAAGAAGAGTGTTTGTTGCAGCGTGTTCACTCTAGCAAACACAAACTAAATTTCGAGCGAGTAAGCACCTTGGTTGGTTATTGGTTAAGCTGTCTTGCGGGGACAAGTGAGGCTGTAAAACAGCGGAATTTTTAGGCAGTAGACTGCCCTTCTGACGTCTGCGCCGTGTACTCCGCATTTTGCAGATTTTAGCATGAAACAACGCACAAGAAGGGCAGCTTCTTCGCCTAAGCTGATTTGTAGCGCTTTCAGTCGAAAATTTGATTAGCTTTCGCAAACTATGCGCAAATTGAATTTGATACTGACTAGCACTTTCACTAGCTTCCCCCTGAGGACGTCCTCTTGAAAAATATGATCTTTTTTCAACAAATACTGGTCTAGGTGCAGACGGTACTCTTAAGGGTTGGTTAAGTGTTAGCTGAGAAAGCGCTTGTAAAAAGGCTCGCTTGCGCTCATATGCTTTTCGTGTAAAGAAGGCCAGCACTGATAGATGTGTAACGGCTGCGAATCCGCGCAACAAGCGAAATCGTATGGTTTATATAAATTATAAATGCAGAGACATAACTGAACCAAGATTTAGCATGACCCTTGCGCTTACAGTAGAAAAGCCAAGCTCTCAAACAGGACTCAATTATTGCTAACGAGCTAAAAATCATAACGAACTCATTTGCTGGGTGTGAATTACTCTTCGACGATGAGAAATATGGTTAAAGAAGAGATCTGTGATATACTTAGGCTGATAGCCATATTTCCGAAATAGAAAAGCGTATTAGTCTTGTATCAGTTTTCGTAACACTCACTCCATTTATATGTACTCATGAGATGGCAAAACTAATTTGCCAGAAAATTCTGGGTGGGTTCTCGGTCCGATGTATTCGAAAGCGCAGCTTAAAATTTGCGCGTCAGGTAACGTACATTCTTAGAGTCAAAGCTTCATATATGCAAAGTGCACGGCGAATTGGTGTGTGATGGATATGTGCCACTTACACTGCGTCGCATATTATAGTCGTTCACGCAACAGCTACGAGTGATCTAGCCCCTAATCCTAAACTTCAGCAATCCGGAACCTACGGATATTTCTATCGTACACAAACTCCGAATTTCATTTCGCAAGGATGAACGTGCTCAATGTTCGAAACTTGGTCAAATTGCTTACAATTTTCGCTCATCAAGACCAGCAACCGATTTTCCATATTGTGCTGATGGTAAGTTATTATCGCGTTGTGTGCCAATAAACGAAAGGGTCTGGGTGGCGCGGGCGTCTTGCTGACCTAAATCAAATTACGTGATCAGCGGCGATGGGTCGTTTCTTTTCGACCAATTAAATGAGGTCCACTACTAGGAGAGTGCTTAGCAAGCCAGCACCGCTCGATTTAAGTCCATCGCGATGCCGATGACAGCCCTGCTAGATAGCGGAGCAAAACCATTCGATTTAATTGCCATATTTCGGCAAAATGGCAAAACGACACGCAATACCAGGTAATATTATGTATTCGCGTGTAAATTTAATAAAATGACATAATAAAATAATAATTTAAATTTTGAATATTATTTCATTTTTATTATATTTTCTACATTAGAATCAGAATCATGAAGATTAATCCAGGCCTTGATACCGCTGATGAAGTAATGATGACAGTAAGGCAAGCGATAATATCTGTCTTTCCTCGATGTTTGGTGTGCATGCTGTGATTCTTCGGTGATGTCAGTAGACACATTCTCTTGTTTACAATCAACATGAAAAAGATGCTTGATTGAATCAATATAAACAGATCGATAAGACGCAGAACAACTTTGAAGGCGCTGTTAATTTGTTTGGTCAGTGTTAGACAGGGGAGCAACTAGTCTTGAGATGAGCTTTTGAGAACTGATTGAATGTATTGCTGTGGTTCTGCCTACTCCTGCTCTCAACACAGCATCATATGCACGTGACTCTTCGCCATGAAACTCCTGGGCCACTCCGCGTGGGCCACCCTGCCCAACGGACACTTCAACCGCCGTCCGGATACGGTTTCCAACACGCCCCCTCTCGAAGTCCACACTTCGAACTCAGGCCACCGTAGTGATGCCCATCAACGCGCCGAGTGACTCGAGACGCGTCTTGTCCAGCGGCTTCGTGAAAGCATCAGCTGGATTCTCTTCTCCACGGACCTTGACCAGCGCGATCGACCCACGCTGTACTTGCTCGCGCACGTAGTGCCAGCGAAGTTCGATGTGGCGTGTGCGTCTGCTGTACGTTGGGTTTGTGGCCATCGTGAGCGCGGCACTGCTGTCGATTCCGATGACCGGCTTGATTGTGTAGGATGGCAATATCTCTGTGAGGATATTGCTCTCGGCCATCGCCTCCATACTGGCCTCACACGCTGCCACGTACTCGGCCTCTGCCGTGGACAAGGCGATGATCGGTTGACGGCGTGACATCCACGCCACTGCACCACCCGCCAGCGTAAACACTGAGCCACTAGTGCTCTTCCGCGTCTCTGGATCGCTTCCCCAATCACTATCGCAGAACCCGCTCAGCGTAATTACACGATCCGATTCATCCCTTCCACGCTTGGTGTACTTGATGCCGTAGTCGCACGTGCCGATCAAATAGCGAAGCACACGCTTGATCGCCCCGACGTGCTTCGAGGAAGGCTTGGCAACGAACCGACTTAGCTGGCCGAGCGAGTAAGCCAGATCAGGCCTAGTGCTGGTAGCCAGGTACATCAACATGCCCAACGCGCCACGGTAACCAAGAATGACAATATCGAGTCGATATTGTCATTCTTGGTTGCTGGAGCGAGTCCGGCATTAGTTTCCATTGGGTTTCCACAGTGCTTGGTGTCGTCGTGCACGTACTTGCCGAGGATTTCACGAGCGTACTTACGCTGAGAAATGCAGATTGCTTCACCAGTCTGTGTGACTTCAACACCGAGATACTCATGCACTTCCCCTTGATCCTTCAAGCCGTACGCAGCATCCAGGTCGTGGAAGAAATGGACCTTAAAGGCTTCGTCGTTGGTGGCACAGAGTATGTCATCGACATACACCAAGACGAACACGATGCGCTCTCCGTCCAGCTTATAGTAGAGGCATGGCTCTGTAGAGCACCGCTGGAAATCACGTTCGAGGAGCCACCCGTTGATCTCCGAGTTCCACTCGCGTCCAGACTGCCGCAAGCCGTAGAGGGCTTTCTTCACCACGTAGACATGACCTTGGCTTTCACACGGGAATCCTTCTATCTGCCGAACGTACTGCTCGATCTCTAGCTTAGCGTTTAGATACGCAGTATTGATGTCTCCACCGTAGACTGTGAGTCCTAGCTCAACCGATGTGGCCAGTAGCAGTCGAAAAGACGACATCCGAGCCACCGGTGCGAACGTTTCCACGAAATCGATTCCAGGACGCTGCCAGTTTCCGAGTGCGACCAGCCTTGCCTTGATTCGAATGATGAATCCTTGAGCGTCGGTCTTGTACGCGTATACCCACATCGTCCTGATCGCCTGAGCACCACTTGGCATCACTGTATCCTCGATCTCCTGAAGAACACCTTTGGCTCTCAGTGCTGCCATCTCTTCGAGCTCGGCCATGCGCCACAGATCTGCGTATTGAGAACGCATCGCCTCGCGCCGGTTTCTCGGTATCTTGATGTTAGCTGCTGGGATCGGTCGTCCGTCTTTGCCGAGGATTCGGGACGCCACATTTGCGAACAACACGTAGTCTTTGTACTTTGATGGTGGTCTGCGTACCGAAGCCTCACGGAGTCCTATTCGACA